AGCTGGGAGAGCGGCTCCTTCTGGAGCTGCCCAAGGCCGGGCAGAGCCGCGGGGCTCCTTGGGGCCCCTCTCGAGCTCGGCTTCCTGTGCAAGGAGCTCACGCTAAGAGCGGCCCTTGCTGAGCGCTGGGAAGGTGCAGCCACCAGCGAGGCCAGAGCAGCACTGCTGGTCGGTAACAGCCTCAGCGCCTACATAGGGAAAAAGCAGCAATTTTATCCATCAGTTGCTGCTCCCTGCAATTCCCCCGCGATTACCAGCGGGCCCAGGGCAGTGGGACAGCAGCAGCGCAGGCCTCGCTGCCCTCCCGCACCCGCCAGGCCCCCTCGCCGCCCTCGCCAGGGCTGGGCCACGCCGGCAGACCAGGGAATCGCCTCTGAGCCCAGCGAGAGCGCGCGGAGAGGCTGTGCACGACGCACGCGTCCGCCGTGTCGTCAGCAGTGCCTGTGCCTGGCTGCCAGCGCGCCGAGAGGAACAACTTCAACCCCCGAGCGACGGCGTTTCGGCCTTCCCCCTTCCCACAACAGTCACAGGAAGAAAAAAAACATACAAAATTCCATAACCTGAGATTCTGCTAATCCTCAGAGCCTACTAATATGTTTTGTTGTGCACTCTAAAATACTTGAATATGCTTAATACTTTTTAAAGTCCCCCTGATCCTTGAGAAGCAGCGTTCAGGATGTCGTGCGGGGTTTGGGAACACGTCCCTTCTCCGCGCTTCACCTTCCCAGAGGGGATGCCCCTTCCGGAGGGGATGGAGAGAGATGCTTGTGGTCAGGAGGGCTGTTTGCTACTCCAAACCCATTGGAAACCTTCTGCAATGGTTATTCTTCACATAGAGGCTCTACCAGAGCTTTTTAGAACTGTTTTTTTGCTCCTTGCCATAGGCGGATTTAATCCACAGCTCTACAGAAGCAGGGAGCCCCGAGGCCGGGGGCAGCCCTCGGCCCGGCAGCAGCTGCCAACAGGCGCTGTTTGCGGCGGGTGTTGTGGGAGCCCCAGCAGCTCCCGCACAGCCCGACCTGGCAGTCCCACAGCTGAGCGAGCCGCACGGAGCTTCTCCCGCCTTCTCTCCTCCACCTTGTTCCCTGGCCGTGCCGCCTCCTGCGGCCTCAGAGCCACTGCTGGGGACAGCGCCGGGGGCTCGGGCGCAGGCCGCAGCTCCGAACAAGCCACGCAGCCGCCCCGTCCTCAGAGGTGGCATTCAAACCCCAGCTGGCAGCAGAGCTGCACACCGACGGACCCGTCTCACCGTGGGCACCAGGGTGCTGCTCCCCGCGCGCAGGCACCTTGGGCACGCGCAGGGCCGTCCCCTGTAACCGCTCTAGGAGGAAGGGACGAGCTCCAGAAGGGCGGGAAGGCGCCTCCTTCCCCCCCTGCAGTACAGTTACGTTTTGGCGCAGCCACTGCTATTGCTTCCAGGGGAACCGTGCTCACTAGATACCTGTCATTTCTGCACCTACGCGGCCCTCATCACTGCTGTGTCCGAGCACCTCATGTCCTCCATACGTTTAATTCACGCAGCACTGCTGCCGCTAAGGAAGGAGCATGGCCTCCCAACAAAGCCAGGAGCTGAAGAGCAGCCCCGCAAGGCTGTTATCCCACACCGAGGAGGGGCTGCTGAAGGCAGGCGGGCGGCTTGTGGCCAGACCGCTCAGGCCACAGGCTAATGAACGCCCTTGCCATCAGGCTGGAGGCCTCTTGGAGGGGCTTCTTCAGCCAGGAAGAGGGGCTCAGTTCACGCAAACGTGCGCCACAAAACCGAGCTCCCCGCAGCGCAGCCGCGAGAGCCGCCGGCCGGGAGCGCAAACGCGGTCAGACCCCCCGGCACCCTCTGTCACGCAGCTGCCTCGTTCAGCTCTCCCACCTCGCACCAAAAACCTGCCCTGCACACACGTGTGCTGAGAGAAGGCCACTGCTCATAACACCACAAGCACACTCAATTTATCTCTACTTCCAGCTTTTCTGTAACTTGGCTCTGCCAAACAAGCCCATTTTTTTGTCATTTTTTGTTTAGAAATGTCTTGGCACCTTTAACATCATTTACTTTACGTTTGATCCTCTTTAAAATATAAAAGGGACGGGGGGAAAATAGCATTTATTTCTAAAGAGACACCCAGCATCAGAGAAATTCCACGTGGAATCCTGCAGGGCAGCTCAGCTGCAGGCAGCCGGGAAGGGCCTTTCAAGCAGTCCCGGCTCCTCCACCGTCCCAGAGCTTCGGCTCCACGGGAGCCCCAAGGCTCCTTCCCATCGCTGTCCCGCCCTCGCCGCTGGCGTCCCGCCCTCCCCGCTGGCTCCCAGCGGCCCAAGCTCTGCCCCCCTCACAGCCCTCCCCAAAACTCCGCTGCGGCGCCTGCCCCAAGCTCTCCAGTTACCGAGATCCACGAGCTGAGCTCCAGCCACGAACCGCAGCCTCCAGACTGCTCCATCGGCCTTAACGCTGCGACTCATTTTGCTCCCTCAAGCACAGCCTGTACCAGTATCTCCCCGCTGGCTCCCAGCGGCCCAAGCTCTGCCCCCCTCACAGCCCTCCCCAAAACTCCGCTGCGGCGCCTGCCCCAAGCTCTCCAGTTACCGAGATCCACGAGCTGAGCTCCAGCCACGAACCGCAGCCTCCAGACTGCTCCATCGGCCTTAACGCTGCGACTCATTTTGCTCCCTCAAGCACAGCCTGTACCAGTATCAAAGGTTACGCCTCCCACAGAGGCTCACTGGCCCCAGTCCAGCCCTCTGCACAGCAAAACAGAACATTTTATCACAGGCAAACCACAGACAAAGTACAATTTATCAATTTACTTCATGAAACCACACGAGCATCTTCATCTGAATCGTCTGTGTCCTAAGCATTAATACTGCTAGAGTCAAACAAAAATATACAAAAATCACAAGATGCAAGGCAAAATCAAGCCACCTAAAAGAAGAAACCAAAACACTTACTTAAGGGAAAGGAAGCGAATTTGCGGAGCTTCTAGCAGTACCTTCCCAGAGAAGCGGTGAGCGCTGAACGCTATCGCAGTGCACTGCTATGCAGCAGCACTGCTTGGTGAGCCGGTTCCGCTCGCCGGGAGCGCTCACCTCGACGTGTCCGTGCACGCGCCGGACATGCCCGCACGCGGCCGCCTTCGGAACCACGGCTCCCCGCGGCCGCCAGCCCTCCCGCTCCTCGCTGCAACAAGCCGGTGTCCCCCTCTGCTATTACTTCTCATATGATGTCCAATATTTATTTTAGTTAGAATACCAGGAAGTGTGTTTTCTTGAAACCCTTTAAAGCATCGTATGCCAGAAGCCCCCTGGATTCCTTTCCGTGACTGAGCTCAGCGCACAGACCCAAGCACAGGGTCGCACATCCTTCCCGAAGGGGAGGCACAAAGGCAAACCCGGGACTCCTCCGTCCCACGCACTGCCTCTGCTCTGCTCTCTGGGCACCGTAACCAGCTCGCTCGGGTACGAGCTCGCTGAGACCAGGGCCCTGGCTGCAGCCACCCGTGCCCGGCTTCCCCGTGCGCAGCCCGTGGCAGAGGACGGGCTCGAGCTCCCGAGCGCAGCGGGCTCGGGGGGCAGGAGCGGTGCC